AGACGCTCCGGATGGAGAGATGCAGAGGGCCGGGGAGAATTAGGGGACTCAAGATTGGTTAGGGGGGCTCCTTGTGTTGTTTTGTTTATGAAGATCTTCCAGTCTTTGCGGCTGTCCCCTTTGAAAGACTGGGAGTGGAGACGCAGCAGAGTGCGGAATTTCTGTCGCCCCCTCCCAGCCTGAGGGCAGCCCTCCTGGCTGCCCGGTGAGGATGCGAAGGTGCGAGAAGTACCTGCTGCTGTCGCCAGAGGTGTCTGCAAGCACCTGCCGCTGTGGGATGGGGGAAGGGGCGTCCGGTCGCTAAGTTGACAGAGGAGAGCCTTGGTGGCGGGAGTCTGTCTGATAAGCCCCCTCTGTGGTCTTCAGTTTCGAGGACCCAGGCAGAAGTCCCCCTGGCTTGTCTTCAGTGTGTAAAAGATAATATGGGGTGGGGTGAGGGAAGTCCTGGGGAAAGGGACTTGCAAAATTATGACACAGGAGAAGCCAATTTATAAAGATGAGACGGGAATTAAGTTAGTGATGATGAATGTGACAGGTCTTACCCTGCAGAAAACAATGAAAGAAAACCAAATTACAGTTTGGAAATGAAGGGTGCTGAAGAGGTTTAAACAGTCCAGTGTGAGCAGATCCTTGACCGCCCTCCCCCTTTTAGACTCTCTGGCAAGAATGTAATTCCCATTCGAGCAGGAGAAATGTTATTAAAATACGGCTAAGAAGATTATTTGAAAGAGTGTAAGCACACTTGCTTTTTGATTTCATATCATGTCACCTAGAATTTCTGGAGTTATCTTTTTGATTATTTATGTTCTTATCACATAAATGGGAAAACTCAAAAGCTAGTTTAATACGCACCTTTTGGAGGTAAAAGGTAGCTTGCAATTTTGACGTGTATAGATAAAAAAATATGACGAATCTAGAGCGTGGAACTCTTTGGTGCTAATCTTTTATTTCCGTCATTTTTTTTGTTACTTGGAGTTTTCTTTCTAAAATACTTTCTTTGTTTTTGAAAAAATGCACACATACATTCAAAATTCAAGATTTACAGACACTTTAAGAGAAAATTAAAAAAAAATGTACTGGCCCAAGATAAGTATTTTAATACTGTTATACACCCTTTCAGCCATCTTTCTAAACATATTTTGATATACTGTGCAATTCAATATCAGTTTACAATTTACTATAACCACAGAATCAGAAATTTTACAGAGTATTCTACTATATCTCAATGGGATATTGTTTTTGGCATGCAGTTATTTAAACTGACTTTTAATGCTACATAAAAAAGACTTTACTGTTCCTATATAAAAGGTACTGTAAATAAATAGTGAAGTGTCGCCATGTAGGACTGAGCCAGGAGGATGTGATGTGCAGGTGAATTGCCCTCTGGGTTGTAAGAATCATACTCCTTAAGGGGACAGTCGTACAGTCATCTCTTCCTTCATAAATGTAAACGTTTTCTTGTTCTCTCTTGTAGATCGGCCTTCTGAAATTTAACTTTTCAAGATGAAGTTTTTATTGGCGATGGCTTTTTTTATTTTAATTTCCTTGTGGGTTGAAGAAGCCTGTTCTAAAGAAAAGTCTTCCAAGAAAGGAAAGGGGAAAAAGAAGCAGTATCTGTGCCCATCGTATGTTCTTCATGTCTTATATTCTTATATGGAGAAATGTTGTTGCTCTTTTTATGAAAGTAAGGTGGTTTATTAAAATGCATTTGAGCAACGCTTTTGGATCAGAAAATAGCAGCTTGTTTCACAGGTAGATAATGACAGCGTGAAGAGAGGTGCTGAATGTGAGTTAATTCTCAGTGTTCCAGGTAGAGTTTTATAAGGTTTTGTTCTCACCGTGGATTTATATAATTCTTATACATCTTTACACAAGTTCAGAAAAAGTTACTGATATTTCATACGTTAAATGTGCAACTTTTATTGGATTCTGGAATTCTATGTTTTGAGCAAGTACCTGTTCAAAAGATTGTTTATTCGTGGACTATTCAAGGAAGATATATTCATGAAATAGGAGATAGCTAAACTATGATCCTAAGGTCTATTTAGTTCATATTGATGCATGGCAGAAGAAAATACACATGACAGAATCAATTTTATATTTCAACATTTGTTTGTAAATTAGATATAATAAGGGTATTATTCAAAAACATTAAATTTGACACTTACAAAATCATATTTAATATGCACCTTTGGGGGGTAACATGTAGCTTGTAAATTTAATGTGTATAGATAAAAAGAATGATGAATTTAGAGTGTGGAATTCTTTGGCGGTAATCTTTTACTTGGGATTAAATTTATAAATATAAATCTAAATACAATCCCCCCCCCCCGAAGAGACAAAGTTTTGTGGCTTAGACTCCTTGTTTTTCATAGGAATGGTTAATATTACTGGTGAATAAAAGCAAACAATATTCAATAGTTAGATTACATATATACAATTGAATAGTATATATGTAAATAACTTTCAAATATGTAATGTGCTTTTAGGTAACAATGAAACACATGCGCTGATCTGGGAAAAAAATGAAATTGTCATTACTGGTCATTTTTCAAGTAAGATTTCTTAAATGTTATACTGATCGTAGATAACATTTTATTCCAGCATTATCATATTCAAATGTAGATTGTTCTCTTTCTACAAATGTCCTGTAAGAGATATTAAGGTACATTTTGGAAAGTATATTGCATAAAGAAAGGACATTAGAATTGGTATTTTGCAGTGGCTATTCATGAGAATATGTGAGATTAAATCTCTGGAGACTGTGTAAAGATCCACACAAAGTCCAGCATTAAATAAAGCTCCATATTGAAAAATATCTCCTAATTTTCAGCTTCAATAGTCTTGTGTATTCTAGTGCTACACAACATGCTGTGATATCAGGCTATGTTTCTGGGTGTATGACGCAGTGGCCCTGAATTGTGTTCCTGTATTCTTCCTTGAATATCTGCCCAGTTGGGTATAAATTGAGGACAGTGTGGGCAGGTTCAGGAATAACCACAATCTAGAACTATTGCTTCAATTCACTGTTCACAGTGCCACAACCTGGGAATTAGCATTTCAGGCAAGTAGACATCGTCAAGCTCTTCCCAACTAAAAGGACACATTTCCATGTTTTAGACATAATTTATGTATCTGAACCTTTCCTTTGATGAATGTTGCCATATTGACACAAACGATCTTATGTGTCTTATGGCCATGGTGATTCTATATGTGAAGTCAAGCCATCTTGGATCAGTCGAGTTTCTCTCTATGAGGAAACTGATCAGGTTCTTGGAGTCTTCCCAACACCCCTCTCCTCCTGCCCTCATCAAATGTCATAATCAAATTGTTCTGAAGATGGCAACAGCAAGTCTCCCAACTACTGTATGTCTTACCAGAGTGTTTTAGAGGGCATTCTGTCTCTTTTTCAGAACTACACTCATAAATTGCCTGTATGTAGACTGGCTGCATATGATTATAATGTCTACAATTATTTAAGACAGATTTGGAAAGTTAAATTTAGTAGGTAAAAAGTGAAACAATCAAAGTTCTCTTTGGTGAATATGGAAATCTTCAAGTGGAAGGCCCAACGTACACCTGTAAAGCCAAAGTCATAATATCTTAGATATGTTGAATAATTAATAGAAATTTTATATCATAGTTTTAAATTTTTTATTATTTCATAATTATGACACTAGATAAAGTCTTAGTAATGGTAGCAAAGGTGATGCTGGCAAATATCTAACTCATTAAAAGGAAAATGTGAAGAAGATGTGAAGAATATCTAACTCATTAAAAAGAAGAAGTTGAGTATTTTTATTTGAGTATTTTACTAGCATTCTGGCTTCGTTATCACTGAATTAGGAACTTAGAAGACTAGAGTTGTCCCAGACTTTGACTGGATCCATTACATCAAATTTCTTCTGATATCCAGGTTAAGAATCTTAGCTATACTAGTGGTCTGTGAAAGAATAGGCAAATTATTAGTATTAGAGAATAAGCTAGTTTTTTTTAAATCTTGTGTGGGTTGATTATGTATAAAACATCTTGATTAAGAGAAATGTTTGAGATTACAAGAGCTAGGAGTACAGACCACCAAAATACTCCACAATATGGTAAAATTTTTGCCCAGGTGATATTTGGATTTATTTAAACTTTTGTTTCTTATCTGTAGCCTTGGGAGGCAAGGAAGCATATAAACATAAGCAATCAGAAGTACAAGTTTTCCATTTGAGTGTTATAACAGCAATATTTTCCAAAGATTATAATAGAGGAAACATATTTTAAAATGTAGGAGAAGGTTGGGTTCCTTGATATTCTAGGCTATAATTTTGATGTTGAACTTGAGTCCTATCATAAACTTTTCCAGGCCTCTTTGCTATTTCCCTTTTTTGACCCACATTGTTTCGCGCTGCCACAAAATGATAAATTAATGCTATTATTGGTTATTTTTTGATGTGTAAGTAGAGCAGCAGTACCAGGTTGATAAAGTACCTGATAAATTTGTGTCCAAAAAATTTAGAAATTTAATGTGTATTCACGAATACGAAATAAACTTTAAATTAATGAAAATATTTTAGGTGAATCTTTGGACTCATAGTTACCTTTTAATTTTACAGCTTGAATTTGACTTGGTCTTTTGTCTGTTAGACTGCCCTCTGATTTTCCATTCTACCTTCCTGGTTTTGGCCAAGTCCATGACTGTAACTATCACTTATTCACTGTTAACTCCTAAGTCTCTATGTCCAGCTCAGACCACTCTATAAAGAGTATCCCACCCTTACATCCAGCTTTTCAACCCGACTGTCCCACCCTGACTTCAGACTCAGCTTGAAATGATAAAACCTGAATTCAGAACTTGTCTTCATCACTTTCTCAGCAAAAGACATGCCTCCTTTACCACCCAGATTATTAGTAAAATCCTGGGGATCACCCTAGACCTTCTCTTTTTATCTTAGCCTTTTTAGTGGACTCCTTCTGAGTCCCCCTGCTTCTTATCTTCCTCTGTCCATGCATATTCTACACTAGCCCTATAGTGTATCCGTCACATTTTAAATCCAGTCAGGGTAATTTCCATATTGAGAGATTTTCAGAACGTCATGGCTTTCTGGTAAGGTTGCAATTTCCTTTCCTTTCTTTTTCTTTCCCCTTTGCCCTTCCCTTCCCTTCTCTCTTTTCTTTCCCCTCTCCTCCCTGCTCCCCTCTTCCTTTCTCTTTTCTTTTCTTTCTTGAGACAGAGTCTCAGTCTGTTGCCCTGGGTAGACTGCTGTGGCATCATAGCTCACAGCAACCTTAAAGTCTTGGGCTCAAGCAATCCTCCTGCTTCAGCTTCCCAAGTAGCTGGGACTGTAGGCGCCTGCCACAACACCGAGCTAGTTTTTCTATTTTTGGTAGAGACGTGGTCTGGCTCTTGCTCAAGTTGGTCTTGAACTCCTGTGCTCAGGCAATCCACCCACCTCAGGTTCCCAGAGTGCTAGGATTACAGATGTGAGCCACCATTCTCAGCCAGGTTGCAGTTTCTTGGCCCATACACAAGGCTCCAGATGGAACGGCCTCGACACCTCAGTAGCATTTTCCCATCCATTCCAGTCCCTGCCCCGCCCAGCCCTCAGGACTCAGGTCTCCTACACACTTGCTCTTTAACAGCTCTGCACGTGTTCCTACCTTTTCCTAAAATGCCAGTACTTTCTTTCTTCCTTAGTTATTGCCTGCTTCAGGGCTCTTATCCAGATTGGTGCCTATAATTACCATTTGTGCACTGTCACTTCCTAAGTGTATGTCCGGCCCAGACCTCCCTGAAGAACAAGAACCACATCCATAGATCCCATATTTTAATCTGATGGTCCCCAAATGCCCTCAAACTTAACTCAGACTCAAATCCCTGGCACTCTGAGGTAGATAACTATATTCTGTGCCTTCACACTTCCATAATTGCCTTCAATGTTGATAGTACCATATGTCAGTCATAAACTGTAATTGTCTGCCTTCCCCACTAGATCGTAAGCTCCTTGAGAGCAGTGTCTTATTTCACTCAATTATCAGAGAACAAACATAGCACCCAGCACAAAATATACATATAATAAAAATTTGTGTAAATCGTGAATCTAAATTTTAAGGTCTTTGATTATATCTTATTAAGTCATTAAGTCTTGATTTTGTCAAGTTACTTGAAAATAAGTTATATGATCTCTATTGTACAATGTTTAGAAATATGGTGTCAATAAAAGGAAAATTGGGTGAGTTGCTTAACTAAATACGTGGAGCATCTTATCTTCATTCTGCATTATGTTTCCTCTTGAAATTTTGGCCTCATCATAGTCAACATTTTTTCAATGATTAAATCAAACTATACAAAAGAAATACTCATCTAAACTGAGGATGTGTGATATTGGGACAGGTAGTGAGTGTGTGGGACAGAACTAGGATCCAACATGATTTTAAAGGTAAATGTGATAGGCTAAGTCTAAAAGGATGGAAGTA